ACAACGTGCTTTCATTTTCAGTTTTAATTTCGAACATCGCATGATGAGCTTAATCAGTTGGTTGTTGCGGTAGACTTATACTTACATTGTGGTTTTAATATGTTCCTGTCAAGTCAATAAACTTTATTATGTTGAATTCCTCATAAATTGCTGCTGTGCCTATAGGTAAAGTAAATGTTGTAGTATAGGTGTTATCGTCATTACGACATGTTACCAAATTCATTTTTTATGTACTTAGTGAAACCTACAAAGAAATTCGGTCAAAAACGACAATATGAAAATAACAAAGGCGTCATCTACAATCTGCACCATTTTAATGGGTCACCTCAAAAAATATTGCATAAACTGGACAATTACAGTTTTTCAAACACATACGTGATTGAACAGAAGGAGGAATAGTGTGTGCTAATTGTATTACCAACTTTCTGAACTGTAACCTCGCGGTCGTACAGACTGATCAATTCCTTTCGCTATAGGTAGATAACTATACAATAAAATTTCTCTTTCGCACACGTGCAAACAAGTACTTGAATTTTCATCGATTAAATTACAGGATTAATAGTTTACGTGATGAATATTATGTAAAGATAAATTAAGAAATTATGGAAGAACACGCTTAAAAACAATTTATTCTCTGCTGAATAATGGCGAATGGTCACCCAAAAAAGTGCGAATTCAAGGCTGAGAACGTTTTTATTGTTATTATCGATAATGAAATAACAATAATACTTACCTGTACGATTTATCGAATATTTCCTTTCCACAAATGGCACGCTGTAGGTGCTGCTTACCATTAATAACTGTTACAAAAAAGTGTTATTTTCGATGTAGTGTTTAAGGCTTTTTTTCCCCCAATAAAATCCAAAAGCAGACTCTGCTTCTGGTACCAGTAGATAGTTTTGGCTAGCCAGTAAAGACAATGTAGGTATTTGGTTACAAATTTTCAATCCTCCTTTCATCAAACATGCGCTGAACACGCTTTTCTTTAATTTTTAACCAGCATCAGCCGAAATACGAATTTTCATGTGTTGCACAAACATCTTCCCATTCATTTAGTGACTTTCAAAAACGCAGTACAAAATATATGTTCATCCATTTAGTACATACAAACTTTCATGTGTTTAGAGGATTGAAATTTTCATACATCACTTTTATATGGAGAAAGGGGGGATTCTATCTCTTATTAATGAGTAACTCTCAAAAAAACAGTACAAAACACATGCTCATCAGCATTTCGAATAGAGACTTTAAAACAAACTTTCATGTCTCTAATAACTTCAAAGGATTTGAATTTTCATAAAACAACTTTATAGTCTCTTAATTCGCCTAGGGGATGAATTGCCTAAAAGCCAAATGCCAATTCTCACATTTCTAATTTCAGTTCTGGCCGTTCATTATGTTTGATGCTACTTGTTTTATTTCAGGAAGTTAGTTAAATTATGTACCTAACCTTTTCTTCCATTTTTCTTTCTGTCTCTCTGTTTCTGTGAATACTGTTAGGTTATCGCAATGTATAAAAATGAATATGATTATTGAGTTACAAGTTTATTTATGGTTTCTGGAGTTTCAAAAAAAAGAATGGAATCAATGATTGTACAGTGTTATGGAACAATAATTTTTCCAGAATTGAAACCGCAAATAGTGATTTTTGCGATTCAATTATTGATTCATTTTTGTAAGGAGTAACTTATCGTGAGTTGAGGTTGAGGATCCAAAGATCGAAATGCGCTATTGGTCATGATTTATTTATCGTGGTTCAACTGTTGATAAGTTTTTCGTGGTAATAACTTATCGTGACTTAAAACCCAAGACATGAGTATTCAGATATTAAAATGTCTAGTCATAATTGTGCTCCATTAAAGTTGATTATGCAACTTTTGGATTGCGGAATTATCTGTGCTTCTTAAAAAAAGTGGGAGCATTGCATTGTACCGTATGGTATAATAATTTTACTCCAACTGAACTCAATAATGTTTGTGGTTGACAAATGTTTGTTGTTAGTAATTGGTATTGAGGTTGCAACTAATCTTGACCAAAGACATGAGTATCCAGAGCTCGAAATGCATTACTAGTAGTGATGATCCTTAGAAGGTATTAGTGTAATTTTTTAGATAGCAGTGCATCTAAAACAATGGGTATATTGCTACTGTAAAAACTCTATTCTTTGCTCCATTAAACGTTTCGTTTAACTTTAAATCCTTAAGTGTGAAGGAAACATTTTGAAAATGCTATATTTTGTTAGTAGAATTGGAGCATCCAGAGCTCAAGTAATTCTGCTGTTTTCGGCAAAAATATATTTCTAAGGGGTAAAAACTATTGATGAGTATTCACGTTAGTGATGTGAGGGAAGAATGTCAGGATGATGAGGCTTTAATAAAAGGAACTGTTCTTCAACGGCGCACCGTTGCTGAATGCTAAATGTCAGGTAAAATTGAAAGAATAAAGGCAGTTTCTCGTGAATCTTCTGATTTTCTGTCTCCTTGAAAATTCAAACTGCATATTTTGCGTTGATTCCCAGTTTACCTCACTAAAAGAAGAAACTCAAGTATAGCACATGTAGGTGTTTCATTTTTTTTGCCGCTCTTTTTTTTTTTCAATAATTTGTTGAGAGTATTATAAAAACTCAAGTGAAGAGTTTAAACCTTTTGAGTTGCTACTTTTACCGAACATATCGACGAATAGCATTAGAAATATGTATTGATAAAAATACTTCGGCGTATCTTAATTTGTTTGTGAGTTTTCCGTTTACTACAATGCCTGGATTAATTTTATGTAGGACCCTGCAAAAATGTCGAAAAGTAGTGACAACAAGCTCTATTTCTATTCTAACTTAATATGTATGTTCTTGGAATTTTTGTTGTTCGTTAATGTCATTCATATTTGTGATTACTCTAACGTCTGTACCATTAATCTCCGATTCTTAATGAGTCTGTAAAGTCTGGATTTATCAAGTGCCTTCTAATAATCATCGCAAACAATCCATATGAACTTTACAATGGATATTGCAACATCTTTCTATATGGGTCTTGTTACAAAACTTTTTCGAAAGTCAAATTGATAACAAAATATACGTCTAATCGGACGTAGGTATATCATCATTAAGATATAATTAGATGGATTTTAGTTTATATTCAAGTCACAGATGCATATCTAAACCTTTGGCATCTCCCTATTTTAAAGGTGCTTCATAACAAGAAGGTATGTCTTGAACGTTTCCAGCGGTGATGCGTTCTGCTTCCAAGACATGGCATCCTAAAAGTCGGTGCTTCCGTCCATTCACTGCTGCAAATGCAAAAGGCAGGTTTTAGCCCAATTTGGTGTTTATATTTTTACTTTCAGAAGTTTAGGGGTGGATCTAGTCAAAGGAAATGAATCGATGCATAAATTTACAAGGATTCCCTGCCATTACCGTACACTCCAGATCTTCCATCACACATTACGTAAAATAAAATAAGTTCACATTTTAATCATCTCAGTGACTATTAATCTGGGGTCCCCGAACACCATAACTATGAATTACTTCCGAAATTGTGTCCTCAAGAGCTCAACGGGACGTTGTGCACCATTAGTACCTAGTTCTGCGACAATTCTTAAATTCAGAAATCCATTTTAGGTTAAGTACATTTTTTGATTTCAAAAGCAGTTAGATAAATTTTTCTAACGGACATATACTCTGTAATGGCATACTTTTTCAGTTTTCCTGTTTCTACGAAAATGATAAAAGCTTCTTCTGCCAAGCGCATATACTACTAGAGCCTATTCTGAAATTTGTTAGATCAAAAACTAGTAAGGAGTAGCCCTATGAAAAGTCACCTTTTGGAAACATATGAAACTTCGCACCTTGCCCTTGTATGTGCATTGTGGACATTTGTTGAAATTATAGATAAACAACCCACTAATAAAATAAACTTTTACTCCATTTACTTACTCTACATTTTTATGCATATTTTACATTGTTTTTAATGCCACTGTCCTGTTTAAGAGGCTGCAACCTTTTAGCGTGGAACCTCTGACAATGAGACAAATCATTGATTAAACAGTATCTGATGGTAGTATGTACGAACTGTTCGCATAACTATCGCCTTTCAATCGACACGTACCATCACCAATGATAGCAATTTTCACTCGGATCTGTTGAGAAGAAACTGTTTACGTAAGAATATAATTTTTCATCATCGATATCTGTTTCCTCATATTGCTTCAGTAGTCTCAGAAATCCTTTCTAAACGTACAATGTTCTCCTAGTATTAAATAAACAAGAAAATTAACTGCACACCTAATAAATAAAACTGTTTTTTTGGAAGAATATCACAAATGCTCAAAATATTGTTCCGCCTTTCATATGCTATGCTGTTTTGTTAGCGACATTAATAATGATAGTGAAACTGGAAGACGAATTTGTAATTATGTTATACGACGAATGAAAACAGAAAAGTCGGATTCTCGTAATGTGGGATTATTCTTTCTTATAATAGGTACTTGAATATGATAATTATTATTGATAAATAGACAGTATTTTAAAATGAAGATATGGGTTATAATTTAATTATGTTTGTTTAACTACTGCGAATATATTATTTGTCAGTAATAGATCTCGTTCTTTCTATCGAAACAATTTCACGATGAGTATTGATTAATGGAAGTCAAATCTGCTGCTTGCTTGGTGACGGGTATTGTTCCACTCTGAATCTAGAATTTTATCCGACAGTTACAGTTAGAACAGGCTGGGTACTTTTTCAAGAAAAACTGCAATTTTTTGAACTTGAATTTCATTTATAGCAATGCAAAATTGTGGGAAAGCTCATAGAAAAACAATTACAAAGATATATAGTGGTTATAATTCAAAATAGAAATATTCGAACGTTTCGAAAATAGCTTCAATAAAAGTTTCTAAATTTTAGAAACATGTTATTTGAAATGGAAGCCCTGCTCTTCTGCAACAATGGCATAGGTGGGGAACTAAACCAATGTATACGACTATAAAGCCGATAGAAAGTTCTTCAGCGCGAAGTAACTCGCAAAATAGACGCAGCAAGACAGACGGTTGTTTGTCCAGTGTGAAGTGAAACCAGACGTGGCTAAAGTTATTATAGATATCGTAATGATTATTAACTGTGTATTATTTGCGATCACCGTTTCCTACACCTACGGATATCCGCAGTCTGATTTCCATCGTAAGTTATTATGGGCTTCCGCTCTTACCTGTTGTGCATATGTATGTGTGGAGTGAAAGTGAAATTTTTCTCTCAGCGGATCAGATGCTACTGCCATTATGAAGAGCTTCATTAAGTACCCCGTTTCACACATTCATAATCACTATGGGGAAAATGTTATTCAATATTTTTCACTAATCTACTCGTTTTCCTTTAGAAAAGTTTAAAATGTTTAATTATAGTTTTCACCCTAGTAAAGATTCACTTCAGTTTTCAAATAAATTGATCTAATCTAATCTTAATGGATATTGAAGTTGTCAGTTCTGCACATTTCCACATTTATTATTTATTTATAACTAAAGAATTAACCTACATAATTATAAAAAAAATGTCTGGGATAGTGCAAATTGTTTTGACTACAAAAAATAAAATTTAGTGTGCATAGTTTTCGGGAAACAAGTAACTTTGAGTTTACGAATTTTGTGAGTAGGCAAGTAGGTTTTTCCCTGAGTACCAGAATTATCTTTCCCACAAACATTATGGTTTATAATTTTACAAAACTAATTATTTTTTCCACATGTGTACTTATTGTAAGCATTCATTTTTCTGTAGTGCTATGAAATTAATAGTGGTCTATTGAAACTGAAGCCAGGTTTTTATTGCAGTAAATCGTTCAATTTCCATGATTAAACAAAGAACAATTGTATTTTAACCCCGTAGTTACTATGGTTTAATTGAATTATAAACAGTTCAATATGATTTAAAAGTTCATTTGTGTTGAGCTTTTTATTAACGCTAATTATAGGTCAATTTATTTACAAGTAAACTGTAAATCTAAATCACTATTGTCTTCTAACTATTATTAGAAGCAAATTAAACCTACTGCATAAATATGGTTGTTAATTATATTGCTAAAAACTGTGATTTCGCTTCCAAGCGATATTAAATATTACACACATCTTGAAAGGTTGGACCTTTACTTGATACGATGTTTTATCGATCTATTATAATACAACAAGACAAAGTGAGAAGATCTTTAGAAGTTGCTTTCTGAAAAATAACATGGGTACCCAACTTAGAAAGGAAAAAATAAAAACAACGATGGTCGAAGTGCTGCCTACTTATATTTCTTTTCAAAAAAATGAATTCCATTTATTATGCGAAAATTCTTAGACAAAGCTACAAATCTCGGAATTCCTTTATTTTATTATATAAGCATAACTATGACACAATTGTGAATTTATTATCCTTTTTTATTACTTTAAATCTACTGACTTATCTAAGGTCATGTGTCACCGTAAATTGTTGTATTCGAGTTTCGATTTATTTGAAAATACACTCGAATTAATTTCAATAATTGGACGAAAAGTTTATCTGTGAATGTTCCTATAAATTTCTTCGAATTCAATCCATATGCTTTGCAAATGTTGAGCTCAATCGATTGAATCTATAATCGGATTTTATGGTAACTGATTCATTTCTTCGAACGTTTTAAGTTAGAAGATGCAACTTTGGATAACCATATCAAGTACAGATGTAACCGGTAGACCTTGCAACACTAATCTATTTATCCGCATTCGTTTAGTTTATGCTGTTTGAAAAGGAGAATGGCAAGATTGAAATTCTTTAGCAGCCTTACATAGCATGATCAAGTACCATCTATCAATCTTTTCTTACTAGGCTCAACATGAGCATTTTATTTCGGACTAAAAAGAAATAGACTAAGGCCTGTGTTGGGGTTTCGCAGTTAATTCCAGTTACGTTGTGCCACTCTGTATTCAGGATACAGAACAGACAACTTGTACGGGTTTCCGGTATATTTTTAAGTAAATATAGTATAAAGGTACCTATTATAGAGTTGTAACGATCAGGAAGGAATTTAAACCTTTCTATTTTTATTTCTTCAGTAGTATCTATAAGGATTCTGATGCCGGTGACGATTTTCTTTGCCAAACCGTAGCCAGTGAATGTGAAACCGCAGTAACCAAAAAAAGAGTTGGTTAGTTAACATTTGTTACGATTAAAGTGAAATTAGTATTTACCTGTTGCGCCGATATTAAAAAACACAATAGGACGGCATTTGGGTATTTTAGGTGAAGCCGATTCAAATATGCGTCTATTCAACGATTTCGATCTTTATGTTTATGATGTTCAATAGTAAGATAGAAGCTGACTTTCTATAATCTCTGACTACCCTCGAAATTACTGACACTTAATTTGATTGGTTCCAAATAATAGCACCTTCCCCTGTTGTTTTCTTGTATATTGATAAAGTCGTTCTAAACTTTCTCAGAATTTTAACCACAGCCCAGCATCTATTTAATTGTAGGTACTTTCTTGCGATAATATTGTGCAACATTCATCGGCAAACGCTGTCAAATAATAATGTTCCACAATTACAACGGCGATTTTGCAATTATATGAATCTCAGAAGACAAATAACATAGTCTACTATTTGTAAGTTTTTACATTTTCATTAATTTATTTGTGATCGAAGTGAAGTTTTACCTTTCTTCCATCTTGATACCGTTTTCAAAATTCTTACTGTTTCAAATGACAGATTAATGTGCTGTTAAATAAGATACGTAGTTTTTTATACAGGCAACTGACTGCTAATTTTGTTCCCTTTAGATGTATTCATGAAGAAATACAATCCTATGCGTATCCGATTTTCAGTCAGCTTTCTAAATATTTCTTGCGGTTTTCTGGATAGTAGTGCGTCAATGTTTTGAAATTGATGTGAATACAATATCATTTTCCAAACATTGATAGACAGATATTTGTTTTCCACCAAGTGAGTTTCCCTTTGTAAGTTAAGAAATGTCTAATGGGTGAGGTGTAGCGAAATTGAGAAAGTAACTTAACCTTTGCCCAAACTAAAAAGCAGTTGCCTTCAAAATTACAACAAGTCCTGGTAATATTCTTTATTTGTGAGATTACAAACCGAGAAATGCAACGTTATATAATTTTATTACAAAAAGATAATGAAATTGCACAAAACAGCTAAGTATCTACCTATTTCTAAAGTTTGTGTTATAGGTACGTAGATTTTCACTTCGTGACTTTAGTTTAATGAATTTTATTATTGCGTCAATAGAAGAAATTCTAAAAACCAATCCAAGGAATCCGGGATAAGCGTTAAGTTTGTGGCGGTTGAACGAACATATAATAATGAATAGATATTACTTATTTTTATTAAATTAAATATTTTTCTAACATTATTTCAATGCATCTTTTATATTGAATTTTATTGTTTTCTCTACCCAGAAATTTTATACGATACTTGCGTGGATCTCTTAGTAATGCTTTTCCCTCAATTACATTACCCAAAATTCAGTACTCGGTACTTCGGTAGGACACCGATTCCAGTCGATCTGTCCTGGTTCAGGATTTTCCGTGGTTCCCTTGGGTCACTTAGGCATATGTCGCTTCATTAATAATATTCCTCGTAGAACCTTTCACTTCTTATTTTTGAACATCATCTCTTTCTTTCCAACCACCATCCTCCCATTCTCTCGATTCCTAAAAGGAGACTGAAGAGGGCTATCAGCCCCAACGTCCGGTCTAATCTGAAGGAATTGTCCGCTGATAATAACTAACAACTATTACGAAATTGCGATCCATACCTAATGGCTCCAACTCTATTAACGAATTAAAGGAAAAAGTGATTACGAGCATACTGTTTGCAATATTCCCAAAATTCTAATGTTTTCACACACACAAAAATTTTATTAAAATGGATAGAAGTGAGGGAGTGGCTATATATATATCTTCCGCGTTTGTAATTGTTACGATTACTTCCCGTACTCATAAAACAATCTTTTAGGTACTTCTGATTTCAATTCCGTGATAAATATTGTCTGAGGAAAAGCAATCATTCTTCGTAGGTTTGAAATTGTCGTCACAATAAAATTGACTTCCTTTATCTTGTGGATAGCATTTCAAGGATACATCGGGTATTGTAAATGGCCTAACAGGCACCCGTAACTGAACATTTTCCGGTTCTATTTATTCACAAATTTGACAAAGTACAATGACCGTAAAAAGAATTACAAACTAAATCAGATCTGAGTTTTTAAGGATACTAAGCAACATTACCATACATATCGTTACGTATTGTCAATTGTTAAAACGTTTTAAACAAGGTTTGGAAGGTGCTATTTATCGATTTAACTAACTATTAAACTACTTTTCAAAACTAAGATGTATGGGATGAAAGTCGTACATCAAATATTTCAGCTTTACATTATTTTTTTCCATTGCTCATTTTTACATGTTTCCAGTATACATGATTTTGATGAATAATAGAATAAAATAAAAAGTGTTGGAATAAAAAGCCATTCGTCTAACATAGCATAAAAAACAGTTAAATGGGTTGCTACAGAGTAAAATTTTATTGAGTTATTAAAGTGAAAGGATAAATACATACATAATTATATTATAAGGTTATAACTGAATAAGGAAGTTTGTGCATCGTACGGTAGTACATACTTTCTTCCACAAGTACCTAACCAACTTTTGCTTGTAAGGACATGACTTCACATTCAATTTTTTTTATGAATTCGATTTGATCTTGAAAGTAATTGTATTGACAAAATTATGGTTTTACTTACAATCTTCGCTAAAAAACTCAAAAAAAAAAATAATATTCAATCTGGTACTTCTAATTCGAACCGTTATTTCTTTCTTCATTAATACTAGATACGTATTTGCTTAGCTGACAATATTGGTACATACATACATGTTGAAACTTCCTGTACATCGGCTGTTTATAGATGGACATTGTTTTGGACACCACAAACTAGTTTTTAAAATAAAAACTAATAATTACATCATGGAAAAAATAGTTATGAATAATTTTTTATAGGTACACAGTTTGAATCTGTTTATGTCTAGACAATAACTTAACGATTTTACCTAATCATTCGCTGTAGGTATGTAAGCACTATAATAAAAATATATTACACTGACGATGAGATACCTAGGTACCTATAAAGCTTTGTGGTTTTTGCGGTCAATTT